GCGTCGCTCTCTGGCAGCACCTCGGGGGGGAGGGCGCAGAGCGGGGGATGCAGCGGTGGTCCGGGGGGCGGCTCCACACCCTGTGCCACCGCTGCGCTGCGTGCCCCCGACCCGCGGCCCCGTGTGTGTGTGTGTGTGTGTCCCCATATCCAAGCTGCCCCCCCCGAGACCCCCCCCGTAGTTACCTGCGGGGCTGCTTGCACGGCCAGCGGGGCCAGGGGCTGCGGCTGTTGGCTGCTGGAGGGGCTCACGGTGCCCGTTGTGCCGGCGGGGGCTCCGGTTGGAGGCTTGGCTTTGCCTGGGGAGGGGGAGGAGAGGGGATGAGCGGGAGGATGGGGTGGGGTGTTGTGTTAAAAAGGGTTGGCAGAGATAACCTCCGGTGTTCCTGTGTGTCCCAGTAGTGGGGTGCCCGGACTGGCACTGTCAGACCCATTGCATTCAATATCTGAACTCTGGATTCCACCCTGGTTCCTCCCCCGAGTGCAGAGCAGCTCCGCCTCAGTGACCCACCGGCCCCATGGGGGGCTGGGCTGTGCTCAGTGAGAACAACGGGACGGGGGGGTGATGGGTGACACTGCGCTGGGGGGGTCAGGTTGGACATCAGGAACAATTTCTCCTCTGGAAGAGAGGTGATGCATCAGCATGGGCTGCTCCTTGGGAGGGACAGGGGGGTCCCCGTCCCCAAGTGATGCTGAGGAACAGAGGAGATGCGGCGCATGGAGATGCATCAGTGGGCACAGGGGGGGTGGGGTTGGGCCTGGGGGGGATCTCAGAGGTGTTTTCTGATCCCAACGCTTCTGCATCGGGGGGACAGTGATTGGAGCAGTGGGTTCTTCTGGATGGTGGACATGGAGTGCACTGTGTGCAGGGCGCACGCGAGGACCAACAGCGTGAGCAGTGCAGGCAGCCAAACTGTGGGCTGACTCAGTGAGGTTTCTGAGCTGAGCTTCAACAAATCACAGAGTCACAGAATGGTTGGAAGGGAGGGAGCTCAAGGATCACGAAGCTCCAACCCCACAAAGCCACCAACCTCCACGTTTCACAGCAGCCCAGGCTGCCCAGGGCCCCATCCAACCTGGCCTCCAACACCTCAGGGATGGACGGGGCATCCACAGCCTCTCTGGGCAGCTGTTCCAGCACCTCACCGCTCTCACAGCAAACAACTTCCCCTGACATCCAGCTGAAATCCTCCCTCCCTCAACTCCAGCCATTTCCCCTCGTCCTGCACTTCTCTCCCCTTCCCAAGAGCTGACTCCCCTCC